AGTTGCGCCAGGGGAGGTTTAGGCTGGACATTAGGAAAAACTTCTTTACTGAAAGAGTGGTCAGGCCTTGGACCAGGCTGCCCTGGCCAGGGATTGAGTCCCCATCCCTGGAAGTATTTAAAAAACGTGTAGATGAGGCGCTTGGGGACATGGTTTAGTGGGCATGGGGGGGTTGGGTTGACGGTTGGACTCGGTGATCTTAGAGGTCTTTTCCAACCTTAATGATTCTATGTTTCTATGACTGCACGGTACACGGCAACATAAAAAAACCCATCGTCTTCTCAAACAGAGGAGATACGAGCTGCGTCACGAGTACCCACGAGTCTGGCTGAACATTACCTATTTCTTCCAGCTTGTGCATACTAATTCAGTTACAACCTTCATGTTTTTTCCTCATCTCTTCCTACGCACGTTCTCTCCCAAACGCATCCGAGTCAATCCCCTCCATCCCAGCCTCCAGCCCGCCGAGCTGTCACCGTGCGCCGCGGCTCCTCACCTTCGCTATCATCGTTGCTCTGCCTGCTGTTGCGACCGGTCCCTCTCCCGGTCCCTAAGCGAGGGTTGCCCAGCTGGTCTTGCTCCTGCTGTTGCTGCTGCTGCTGTTGTTGCCTGCGAGCAATCTTCTTCATCTGCAAGGAGACAGAGACCCCCGGATTTGAGGTTCTGACTGAGAGAGGAGGGGAGTGGGTTGCGTTTAACACAGGAGCGGATCACTGCTGCCTGCCTTTCACAGAGACCCAGCACTGCCGTGGTATAACCCTGCTCACTCCTCTGGGTGACTCCTCTGCAGTCAACATTCTCTGCAGTCGGCCCCGTGTGAGAAACGGGGCTGACAGGAAAGGTCGTATTATCTTTGTGGGAGATGCCATTGGCAGTTTAAAAAACAAAGGACTTTGTTTTACTACAAAGTGAGGTTCTTAAAGCCGCGTATTTTCTGTTTTCACCCTTGAAATTCTGCAGAATTAGAATTGTTTCAACTTCTAGAAGAAAGAAGTAGGAAATCCTTCTAGTCTTTCTATACAGAGGGGGGAAAAGCAAGTAGAAAAAGAGTAATCAAAAAAAACAGTGAAGACTGTTAAGCCCTGCCAACATCTATAATTGATCGATTTTTTAATTTCTCTTTAAACTTTTGCTGCTACTAGATACATGTTGTAGGACTAGGTGGACCTGTGGTTTGGTCCTGCATAGCTGTTCTTCTATTCTTCTAGGCGTTTTCTCTTTTTCCTAAGCTATTCTGTGTTTCCTTTTAATTGAACGAGCGTGTGTGATATCCCACAGGTATGCAGAACCCAGCTGTGGCAGGGGAACCGTCACTCACCTTGGCTCTTTGGTTCTGGAACCAGACCTGTACCACCCGCACAGTCAAGCCCGTCTCGGCTGCCAGGGTCTCTCTTACCTGTCCACAAAACCCGGAGAGCTGAATTAGAACTGAAGTTGCACTTAAAAGGATCCAAGCCAGCAGTCGTGCTGAACGGCCTCCTTATACCTTTCTGCAGGGTTTTGAGGAAACCTCGAACGAGGCCTTGAACGCCCGACGCTGCTGCGTGGTAAGGATGGTGCGCGGGCGCTTGGAGCGCTTGTGGTCTTTGCTCTCCTCGCCGCCTTTGCCGTGCGAGTGGCTGCCGTCTTCATCCTCGCTTTTCACTGCAATGGAAGATCAGTAGCGGTGATTCAGCAGAGAGCGGCCTTTCTGGGCCACCTCCCAGGGCAAGGATTCAGAGAAACTTGTCAGAGTTTTGCTCCTTCCAAAGTGCTATTTAGAGCAGAACGAAGCCAGCAAAGCTCGTGGACTGCGCTGTGGCTCCGGGGAGCGCTGTCAATTCAGAGACAGAGTTGATGGGCCACCCTGGCCCCGTATCATCCATTCTGTAATGTCTCAGAGCAGCCCACCCAAACCTCTCCAGATCAGCCAAGAAGGTCTCGGCAGCCTGGTACCCCCTGTCACCAAGGGGTAAAGATGCTACAACCTCCACCTACCTACATCTCCTCCCTCTGAAGCCTTATAGTTAATTAGGGACCAGGCGGTACCTGCCCTCTACAAGGTTCACCCTGGTTCCCCACCCTCAGCACCGCTCCAGTCCTCACCGGACTCAGTGGGTGCCGGGCTGATGGCGCTCAGCATCTCCTTCTCCTTCTCGTAGTCACTGCGGCACAGCAGCTGCCCCTCCTTCAGCACAAACTCGTCTCCCCGCTGCAGACGCCGCTCACACTCGCAGCAGTAGAAGCAGTGAACGTGGTAGACGTTCTCCAGCACCCGCATGATGAGCTCGGAGGGGGCGATCGCCTTCAAGCAGCTGCTGCACTTGGTCTGGAACAGCCTGCAACGAAGGTCTCGGGGGTTAGACACTTGGGCAGAGAAGATCAGCCCTAGGTTGGAACTCAGGAAGCCAAGGGAAGAAGGGGATGGATGTTTGGAGCTGTGCTAGCACATCCCAGCAAGAAGTGTACATCCCAACGGTGTTTTGGGGCTTTCTGACCTTCCGTAGCCCCAGGGAGGAACACGAACTTGCCTGGCCCACGAGGACAGAGCTTTATGTCCCCTTTTCCTCTCTAGGGCTGTTCGCTGCCTGGCTTTGTTAGGTTGCTCCTAGTGAGAGGACTTTATGGGGACCGTCCCCAGGGCTTGGAGGAGCCTTACGCAGGGAGTCCCGCCGGGAAGGCTGTTTGTGCCCCACACCATGTCCAGAGAGAGAAATAAACAACTGCCGGGCGCCCCGCGTACAGAGCAGATGGTTCTGATGAAGTAATTTGGGATCTAAACAAATGTGAGCGGTGGTGGCTGCCGGCTGACAGCTTCTATTTAGCCACTTGACAAGAGAAAGTAATAAAACAGGGATTAATTAGGCTGTTGTTTAAACACACAGGATCTTCCCCACCAGCAGGGAACTCATAAACTGGGATTGAGAACAAGACTGGGTTAATCCTCCTGGCAAACTCTGTGGAGCAGGATGAAGAGGCTTACAGGGGTGGGCTCATCCCTTCCAAATACCACCATGGATTTGTGCTGTGCGGTGGCTTTCGGCTGAAGTGTCTGGGACATTCCAACTGGAATGGTGTGGGATTTCTCTCTCCTTTGTGTGAGTGTGTTTGCATGCATGTTCCTCTCTCCCTCCCTGTCTCTCTTTCTCTCTCCCTTTCCTCATTGCCTTTCTGTAAGTCACACTTGAAAAACAATAATTGAATTTAAGTTGAAAAAGCTGGGAGTAACGAGCAGCCTTTTAACCACAACCTCTCACTGTCTTAACGAAGGAGCAAACTGGGAGCATGTTCCAGGCACAATCCCAGTCCAAATCTGGGCTGAGTCCAAACCTGTCCCTTTCCTAACACCAACATCCTTCTGTTACAGCAGAAGTGAAATACTAAAAAGAATAGAAAAGACCCAATGATAGAGCCAATCCGCGCTCACGGCTCTCTGGGATCAGTCAGGAACATGTGACATACTACTAAACATTAAGTTATTAATGTTCCTGGACTTTAAGCCCAGATGGAAGATAGCGGGGATGTAGTCTGGCCCCGTGTTCATCGCGAACCGGAGAATCTCGCCCGGGGATTTCCACCTCAAGCCTGTTCGCCGGTGGTCAAGCGAAGGCCAACGGTCGTGGTCTGGAGGCTCCGAGTGAAGGGGGATCTGTCCGCATCCATTTGGAAGAGGTTCCAGAGGCTAACTAGCTCCTCATTCCTTATTTCCAATTTGAATCTTCCTTTATTCCATGCCCAGCAACGAGACTTTGTCATGTCTTTATCTTCTTGAGAACCACTTATAATTCGTTCTGCCAATTCTGGATAATCAGACTATTCTTCTTTCCAGGTTCCTGTCCCTTATCCTTCAAACAACTCGTTCAAAAGCGAGTACTGACTTTTCTTTGCATCTCGGCTGGGAGAATTACTGTCCCCGAAGAAAGATCTGCCTGGCTTCGCTATACGCTGTCGTGTAGCTGAATCTAGTGACACAAATCTCATTTGACTTGGAGACAAGCTAGCCCCAAGCTCCCTTCTGGTCTCACCGTCTCTTTCAGAGACAGGTTTACTCCTGTAACACACCCAGGCCAAGCTGGTTCCGCCCCAGAGCCCCAAATCCAGGGACAGACACATTAAGAACATCGACCTGGCAAACTGGCTTTAAACCTGGCTTTACTTCAATATTCCGACCTGACTCCAAGTAAGGAACAGGATAGTTAAGGAAAACACGGATGGAAAACTCCCTGTCTTGGTTCACACTTGTGTTTCCTTCGTTATTTTTCTCCGTATAGACACTGGAGCATTCCCTGGGTCCTTTTATATTTCTAGCCTCAGTGATATCGCTGGTTGCTTGAGGAAAACATCCCGAATGTCGCTTAGCCAAGGCAGGTAGAGGAAAGCTTCGAGCGTGATGCGCTTCTAACTGCGGGCGGGCTGATAGCGAGAGGGATGGAGCAGAACAAGGAAACGTGGAAACAGAGGCCAGAGCCGGGAAAGGAGACCTATTCACCTGCAAGGCACCAAGCCGATTCCTCCCGCTGCTGTTGGGACGAGGCAGTTAGCGAGCCTTATTTAAAGATGCTGTCATGTGCCAGATTTCCATGCAAAGGGCTTTTTTTGCAGCTATCAGGTGAGGGAAGCGCCGTTACTGCAGCGTAACTCAATAACGCTTTTGGCATCGCAAAGCCCGCACCCTCCCATCTCCCAACTAAGCCCTGAAAACAAATCCGCTCTGCTTTGTACTAATTGAAGAAAACATTCAGCAAGCAGCTCATAAACACGGTGTCAGCTCGCATTACACAAAATTAAAATTCTCAGCCCCTCCAACACCAGGAATTCCTAAAGAGGCTGGTTTTAATATTGCCTGAATCCGTTTAAGTCAAGGTAATATTGTTTGGGTTGCCATAGGAACAAAATACATCTCCGTTGCTGGCAGTGGGCTACAAGGAGGCTGGGGAGGCTGTGCTGTGGACGCGGCTACGCGACGTCTAGAAGCGGCTGCCTGCAGAAACGACGCTGAGGGACAGTCCGAAAAATAAGCGGGTTCCCAGGTTGATAATGAAAAGTGCGTTTAGGAACAGCAGTGTGACACGAGTGAGATCTCCGCATGCTCCCGGAGAAGAGAACAGCCTCGGCAGCAGCAGGACCGCTTCTAAGTGCCTGTAACTCACAACAACTGTATCCCACTTCTTTTGGAAGGACCCTTATGCCGCATAAGCCTCATAGTCCACGTGCCTCCACTTCTATTTTGACCAAGTCTCCCCATGTCCTTACTTAATACTCTTGTTTCCTCAAGATCCCAGCTGAGTTTGATTTCTGTTCAAGATTTCCTTATGGGAGGTGTGGTAAGGCTATCAACTTTTATTCCTGGGAACGTTCAGAAACCATCCAGAAAGCAGAGGCAGGTGCGTGCACACAGGTACATATCCCACGTCCTTCTTACCAGCTTGCCTCAAATTAATTACCTTTGCAAATGATAGAATTTGATTTTCCTGCCGGGGGATTGCTCACCTTGATGGAAAAAGTGTCAGCAGCAGGAAGGCAGATGGGCTTATAAGTGGGAAGGTCTTTGGGAATTGCAAAGAAGGCGGCTCTGGAGCAAGCGGAACGGTTACTCGCAAGTCAGCGTCGTGAGAGAGGTTTGGGGCTACAGGCACGGTTTTTGGCAGCCGCTTCTTCACGCCGATGGACGCTCAAGGCGAGGCGTTGCGGGCGGAATAGCAGCCTGGCAGCCGCCCCGTTAGAGGGCAAGCGCATCTGTGGCGTTTGCCAACTCGGAGACAGCACGTGTCACCCAAGCAAGGATGAAGATACTCGGTATCTTAAAGAGAGCTTTGATGCTGGGCTGGAGGCCAAATTCACTGGCTGCCCACACTCTTCCTGCCAGGAGGTATTTGAGGCCAGCTCTGGGGCACGTGCAGCAATGCCTTGAAAGTCCCAGCGCTCTTTCTCTATTTCTCTTTTATGCCCGGACGCTACAGCAATGCCCGACATCTTCTTGAAGCTTGCTGCAATCTCGGTCCCAACAGCATCCTGTAGCAAGGAGTTACGTGCTCTGTGAAAAACAATTCCATTATTTGATTCCCTCACCCTACCTGCAGCTTCCCTGTCTTGTTTTTTACCATTAACAGTTTGCTTTTCTCTCAATAACAAAACAGTCGGGGAGAGCCCAGCATGTAATTATTTCCCCCCCGAAAAGTTCAGTAAAGTTTCAAAGCGTGGAGCAGCGGGAAGAGGAATCGCAGCGAAGCGACCGCGTGCATCTGCCTGGCTTCTGCACGCAGCTGAGGACCTCTGAGATCCTTCGACGTCTTTTCAGACATTTCATGGACTTTATTTATCCCAGCTCTCAGATGGGGATGAGCTGAGCAGCGAGTTATTTGGGAACCCCTCCGACCTGCCATGGCACAGAGAAGACGCTGACCCAGGCCTGGGAAGGGTAATTTGGGGGGCATACGATTGTCTCGACGGGATTAAAAGGTGTTAATGAAGCAAAGAATATGCTGGGAGGCCTGTGCTTCATGAAACTAGCTTATTTAGTTAGGGTTTAGTCAAAATGAAGCAGTCCAGGCTTAAGCAAGGTCTGTTTACTTAACATTGAGCTGCAAGATCCATTGTAGCCATCTGAAATATTGAAGTGGAACTCGCAAAGCCTCCTTCCAGATTTCGGGCTGGGGGCTAGGGGCGTGATGGGGAAGGGGACACACAAGGGAAACGAAGAGGCAGCGGCAGCACAATATGCTCTTTCATTCCCTACCGCAACAGCCATTTCCCCCAGTTCAGCGATACAGAGTGGCACCAGGGGATTAAGGGGAAAAAATTTCCTTCTGCTTCATTTCTGACTTCTTCCAGCAACGTTTGGGTCAGAGAGAGGAGGAGTAATTTGGGGGCAACAGTTACCTCGGCTCTCCGTTCCCTCCAAAGCTCTTTGTGGGTTACGTGAATGGATTTACCCCCAGAAAGGAACTTTGTAATTGTGTAATGATGTAATTGTGCCTCTCATCAGAAATAGCCAAGACTCGAACGTACTGAAACCTCCTCTAATGTGAAGAAGTCTTCAGAAGTCAAAGCTTACCAAAGCCAAACTGCATGCAAGGTTCTCCCCCAAGGAGCGGAAAAAACAAATTTCAAGTAACGGGAGTTAGTCATCTCACTTAAATGTTTCACTAAAAGGCAGAAGGATGGGGTAGGAGTCGGAGAAGAGCCACCGTCGCACTATTGCTGTTGCATCTTCACCGTCGCACAGAGGGAATGACCCGACCTTCTCCATCCATCGCTGGAAATATTACTTAGAAGGATGAGGGCAGCACCACGGTCGTGTAGAACAGAAGGATTTTGGGACGGGGCACGCGGCAAAGAG